CTCCCTAGACCCCTCATAGCCCCCCCCTTCCGATAGTCCAGCATATCTGATAATCTGGCACCCCCTGGGTCCTAAAGGTGCCGGATTATCGGAAGTTTTACTGTACTTTGGTCTGACCCAGTATGGCTGTTCTTATATTATTTTCAGTCTTCTTCATCAGCATGTCCTTTCATACCTGTGAGTCCACCATGGCAACAAGAGCATGACCAGAATTTTGCTGTCTCTTCCCCTGTGCCTCAGGTGTCCATTTTTGCATAGAACTACTGGTGACACAGAGAGAAGATATCATCTACGCTACTACAAAACTGGAATCTGTATCCATGAGACTGACTCCAAAGGAAATTGCACAAAGAATGGCCTCCACTGCGCCTTTGCTCATGGGCCACACGACCTGCGCTCTCCTGTTTACGACATCAGGTACCAGAGGATGGAGTTTCCTTGGGGCTGTGCAGGGAGGGGTGATACCTGGACCTGAATGGGAGGTCAGCTGATCAAATAGATGGAAATGTAACAAAATAACGTTAAGTATCATAGTGATGGCACTATTTCCTTCCCTAGCAAGGCAAAACACAAAAACCTCTTCTAAAGGGTGAAACACTAGGCTAGTGGCACCCTGTCTGAGATAAGGATGTTAAAATGCGATTATCTGGCTAATCATACAGTTGATACAATTTGCTGTGCAGAGCTGCAGTGGAAGTAGCTCCAAGAGCCGGCTCCAGAGCCATCTGCGCTGCTGGCTTCTTAGTACATTTAAAATGCAGAGGCACAGTAATCAGTGTGAGCTAAGACTGTTTAGTTCCGGCTTGTGCTGAGTCCAGCAGCCCCTGTTCGCATCGGACAGTCTTGTTCAAGGTGGCCATGACTGGCCAAGGACAGGGGCTGCTCAGGCAGCAGTCCCTGTGCAGGGCCATCACCTTACTGCTGCAAACAAGGGATGGTGCCGGAGCAGTGTCATGGCCACCGTGAACAGAGACTGCTACATCCCCATCCCCTGTTTGCGGCAGCCAGAGATGGCTACAGACAGGAGCTGCTGCTTGAGCAGTCCCTGCCCACGGCCAACTCTGGCTGCTGCAAACAGGAGCTGCTTGGTGGCAACAGCCCCTGTCTGCAGGGGGCCCAGCGGCTGCTTCCCAGCAGCATCCCCTATCCCAACCCTGCTGCCTCTGATAGAGGCAGCATTGGGGAGGAGGGGCAGGTGGCACCCCAGAGACGATGCTGCGGGGACCTGGCTTTTAAGCCCACTCCCTCCAGCACCAGCTCCTGTCCCTCTGCCTTGCCTCTCAAAGAGGCAGAAAGGGGGGGCATTGCTTGAGTCCCCGCTCACCCCATGCTCCCTGCAGCACTTCTGCTTTTGAAATGTACATTTCAAAAGCAGAAGTGCCGGCAGTGGGAACCAGCACCAGCAGGGACTGTAGCAATTCCCTGCTCGCTCTGTTTCCCACCCCTCTCCTCCCCTCCCCCCCGCCTCTGCCTCCTCTGTCCCCTGTGGAGACGGTGCTGGGGGGAACCGGCTTAAAGCCAGCTCCCCCCTGCACTAGCTCATGCTCCTCCCCCACTTGCTGCCTCTCTCTGATAGTGGCAGCAAGAGGGAGGGGGAAGCAACTAGTCAAGTGGCTACTCAACTATCCAGTAAGCATTTGCTTATCAGATAGTCCACTAGTCCCTAACATCCCTAGTCTGAGAACCCTATAGGTTCTAACTTCTGAGGTGGAAGTTTCCTGGGAATGGACAGTTGCTGTTTGATCTCTTGTTTCTATATATGCTATGGCAAAAGCCAGTGGACATCGTGAACATACAACTACTTTGAAGCTCAGTAACAAAATTGTTAGACGCATATATCTGTCTCTACATCTGCTCTGTCTGCCTATTGTTCATTTAACTCTACTCCCGAAGGGAGCTTCAGGCTATGGAGGCTTTGCAGAATGGTCAGACCACATCAGAGGGCATAGAAGGTCAATCTGCAGTCGCTGCTAGCCATGCTATGATAGAGAAAATACTCAGTGAGGAGCCAAGGTGGCAAGGTGAGTCCCTTAGGGTCTTGCATGGGGGGCAGTCCAGTGTGCTTGGAGTGCCCGCTCCAATCAAGGGTTTTTGCATAGTAAACAAAGCACCTGTCCTCTCCAAGTAACCATTGGGGCCTTCCTTCACAGACACAACGTACGTGTTAGGAAACTACAAGACAGAACAATGCAAGAAGCCTCCCCGTCTTTGTCGCCAGGGTTACGCCTGTCCCTACTATCACAACAGCAAAGATAGAAGAAGGAGCCCAAGAAAACACAAATACAGGTATCCTTTTCCTGGGATCTTTCCAAACAAGGTCTTATGAAGTGGGGACTGTGTTCACTCTGGTTGCTTTGTTGTGTTGTATGTGATTCTGCTGTCCTGTGCTGCTCTCTAATAACGCTGTGGGTGCGTGCCTCAGTTTCCCTGGGTCCTGGGGACCACGTGACCGCAAATAACACCTTGGCCCTGGGAGTAGGACAGACCAGGAGGTGGGGCTGCCTGGGGGGCTGTAAGCAGTGGCTGTAAGTTGCGAGTTAGTTTTTGGCTCGCTGGAGGAGAAGGGAGCCTAGCTCCAGCTCTGGGCCCTTTTCTCCCCAAGATGGGCTGTACTGAATGCTCCTGGTTCCTGTAACAAGAAGTCTGAGCTACACTGTGTCTCTGTGAACCAATAAACCTTCTGTTCTACGTGCTGGCTCAGAGTCACGTCTGGCTGCAGATGTGGGTGCAGAGCCCGGTGACTCCCCCACACTCTGACACACAAGGACCTTGGATTTGCTTCATTTAATATGGGTAACCTTTCCATAAGGCCTCTTCTGACAGTTCTGCTGCCTGAAGGGTTGGATTGATGTGCTAGTCCCCAAGCCTAGGGATTTGCCTTGTAACCAAGGTCAATAATGAATGCCTATAATAAATAAATAACTGTGTGTTACCAAATTGTATTTTAGCTCTGATCATCTCACTGTGGACAGAACCTGCATCTCGCTTCCCCATAATAACCATAATACATTTTTAAAAAACCTTCATTTCAAAAAGCGATGCAGGGTTAAAAAAAATCCTAAAAGGGGAATTTAGTTCCATTTGTAAACAATACCACATACTGCATGTAGATCATATTTTTGTGGGCTTAAATGAAAGCAGGTAAATATTTCAGAACAATCAGGCCACTTCATGTGTCTGAGATTGAAAAGGGTTTTGGGAGATTACCAGTGTTGCCTGCTTTGTACTCCTCATTTGACAGTGAAAGGCTCCTGCAACTTAGGTTATAGGCGTTCACATCATTTTACTGTTTTCTGTCTTATCACCAGTGATGCGTCTTCGTGAGCAGGTGTGTCCAGCTTAGTGGCTCTGATTTCCAAAAGCACTTCTGGATGGCCTGGATGAGAGGGAGCTTTTCTTCAATCCCTCTTAAAAACATTAGAACTGGCTGAAAAACATGAACAGTCTCATTTTCTTCCTCCTATTTTGTCATATTTTTCCAATCAATGCTAAAACCCCATAAAATCTAAGGAGCATTAAGCCATCTCATCCAGGGCAAGCATACACACCATGAATGTCCTCCAGTGACAGCCAGGGACTCCTCCTACTATCTCCAACAAGAGCCCCCTTCCATCTTTCTGTCCCATCTTTGTGCCTTATTAACAAATATTAGAAGAGTTGAGGGCCCACTACCAGTGCATGACGAGTGTCTTGATTCCCACCCACTTCTGTGCTGCCAGCCAGCCTCCCCCCACAACTGATGTGGCTGTCTGCTCAGTCCTGGCTGCTGCATCTGGTGCTTCTATGTGCCTCCTCTTCAGTTTATTGAGGAAATGTGTCATTATACAGAACAGTGGGAGTTGGGAACATCAAGACTACAGACCTGGAAACGGAAAAGGTTCCCAGCACAGAGACAGGGAACGGATCTGCCTTTTTGTTGGTGACCCCTGTCTTCTACAGGGCCACAGTGTAACTCTGGAACCTGACTGGCTTACAGTGCTATGCGTTTTGGATTAGCCAATTAACTTAACATTATACAAACACCCAGTTGTGAAACAGAAAACAGACCCAGCATCTTTGACACTAATCTTGTTACCTGCTAATAGGGTTAGTTAAACTTTTGGGCAGTCTAGACAGGCAATGCAAGCTACAGAGGTAGCAGGGAGAAAGCTGCACAGGCACCAGCTAGTGAGTGCAGGAGAAGAAGCTGGGAGAGCGGAGTTTAGGACGTCGGGGTGCCAGGAGACAGGGCTGAGAGTGGCCAGTAAGCGTCTGTGTTTGATTCATTCCACTACCTCTTCTTTCTCCAGATCGTCACCATGTCCCAGTGTGAAACATGGTGATGAGTGGGGAGACCCCAGTAAGTGCGAGAATGGGGACACATGCCAGTACTGCCACACGCGCACAGAGCAACAGTTTCACCCAGAGGTATGGTAACCTGATCTTTCCATTTGACGTCTTGCTATTTGAGAGGGAGAAGTCCAGGGTGATGATTGATAGGCAGCAAAGAGCCAGCAAAGAGGCAGATAATAAGTTGCTTGCAGCATGGTGTTTGGATGCCGAAGCAGCACGCTGGAGGTGAGCTGGGACCACAGCTGCTTGGTATGGCTCCTTTTTAGTCAGGAAAAAAAAATTGTGGGAAGGTAAAGAAGGAGGGGAAAAGATTGTGTGTGAGGGAGAAAATGAAGGTAAGCACATAGACTGTATGTGTGTATTGGTGATGAGTTGAATGGGTTTGCAGGTGAACTAATAGGGTTTATCTAATAGGAAAATGATCAATAATTGACAGTTGTTGTCATTATTAGGTCCCCATGAACCAGTACTGAAAATGGCTTCATTGCTAGTGCAGATTGGCCCAAAGCTTTTCTAGAACAATTACAGAAAGTATGTCACACTGACACTTCATATTATAACGGTTGTCTGGTCTACACTACCAATGTCATTTTCACCATCAGAGGAAGGGAGGACCATTGTTTGCTGTTGATCCAATAGGGGATCTGTTTTCTACCTAGTCATTTATTCGTTATTCCCTTAGCACTCTAATTTTCCATTATTCCACACATAAAGCTCCCACTGAAATCATTGAGGACTGATGGCAAATGCTAGCCCTTAGATGAGCTTAGCTGTGATGGGAACAATTGTTGATGTTACCAGAACTCCGGTAATGTTTCCTTCTTTAAAATAAAGCATTTAAGCGGATACTCTGAAATCTTTGTGTCTGTGACTCTAGTCTGTGTTTCTGTCTCTCTGTTGAATCTATTTTAGACATTTCTCTGAATGAACTGTCTGTGTGGTTTTTTTTTTCTTAGATCTACAAATCCACCAAGTGCAATGACATGCAGCAATCTGGCAGCTGTCCTCGGGGACCCTTCTGTGCCTTTGCACATGTAGAACGTATGTTGGCTTCTTCTCTCATGTTTCAGTAATGTTTTAGCCATGAATATCTTTAGTTTGGTGCTCCAGGCTAGAATAGATAGGACCACAAAGGGGAGAGCTTTCTTTGGGAGCTCATTTAAAGTCATGATGCCAATAGGAGGAGATGTGAGCACAGCTGAAGGTAATAGATAGTCTTTTTCAAGTGATTACTCATGTCCATTCCATATTAGGATTGCATGCTCGCCACGTGCACCAATGCCAGAAGTTTTTCCCTCCGCAGTACCTGTAGGAGAGCAGCTCTGACGACCCCTGGGGTGGCACTTCCATGGTATGATATAAGGGACGCCTAATGCACCCTTCATCCTCAGCTCCTTCTTGCCACCAGCACAGTGGAGCTGCTGGGTCTTCAGCCAAGCTTGCTTCTCTGTTGTCTTTGAGAATACAGTTTCTTCTTTTGTATATAGTTTCTTAATTAGCTGGTTAAAGTTCTCCCACTGGGCGTCTGAACTCAACATTACCTTCTCACGATCTTCAGTGTAGTCCATCTTAGATTGCCTACTGCTCCTCAAGAACCATGGTGCACTCTTCCATTAGTGTGCATTTCGTGGCCATCTCCACAGTTCACCAGCATGTTGAGGGTCAGACGGTGTTCTCTCTTGACATGATGGTCAGATTCTCACACAGCTTTACCTGCAGGCACAAGACTTTGTCCCATAGCAGGACCTTAGCCTGGTCCTCTAAAGACTCACTGGCCTGCCCTTTGAGCCACTAGATTCCTGCTCCCTTGCCTTCTTGTTCTGGAAGGTTGCATTCCTGGTGGCCATAATGTCAGCATGAGAAGTCTCAGAAATCAAACCTTTGACCTCAGAGCCACCTTACTCAGTTTTCCATAAAGACAAAGTCCAGCAGCGGCCCCACCTGGCATCTGTTTCCTCCTTCCCTCCTTTTCAGTTGTAAATAAGTTTGTAATTGTTAATAGTTAGTCCCCTGCTGAGACTCAGCCTGGGGACAGGGCATGCCCTGGTCCCCCAGATTTAAACCACGTGCTAACTGTTGAAGGCCTATGCTAGTTAGTGACCCCCATGGCAACTGCCTTTGCTGGCTGTGTGAGAGGCCATATCAACTATAAGTGTTGCATCTTTAGGTCTGTCAGACCCAGGACCATAAAAGACAATGTTATAAGACTTAAAGCACTACTGATGCAGTTGGCTTTGGCTCCCCAAAACCAATGTTCAGATTCGGTACTAAGTACTAGTACCTCAGTATGAAGCGCTACTCAAAATGTGAGTAAGATCTTCTGGTCCTGATCCTTCTTCCAGCATTGGAAGTCATCTCCTCATCACCGGTCTTACTGATGCAAAGGAGGACTAATGTGCCATGGTCTCCATCCTGCTGTCATGGATGAACTTCACAGTCTCCAACATTGCCCTCTTCTGGCAGTTCCCAACATTGGAGGGACCGTAGTACCCGATCTCTCAGCCAGTGTCAGGTCGGACAGTGCCCATTGGAATGATCCTCCCTCCCACCGGCACAGTCATTGGCAGTACACCCTTGCCACCCACCTTGATACTGCAAGCAGCCACACAGTCTTCACCTTGGCCTCCGGCACTGTGGCCCTCACAATGCTGCCTCTGGACCCTGTGGGGCTTCCCCATGCAGTCAGTAGCCAGAGCCTCTGAGTCTCAGTTGGGACCATCTGCCAGCCAACCTCTGGCACCAGAATCAGCTAGGCTGGGCACTCCCTTGTTCAGGAGGAAATTGAGGCTTAACCTCCCACCACCACCACCAGAGGAGGGATAATCAGCCCGGGCCTCTTCCTCCTCACCAGATGAGGCCATAGTGGCACCCCCTCTGGAGGTTGCACAGGACAATAACAAGGCACACCAAGACTTCTTGAAACAGGTGACCGCAAACCTGAATCTTCTGGCAGAGTAGGTTGAGGAGTCCACAGACACCCTTTTTTGGCCCAGCTACGGTCACATTGCCTCTTCATGAAGGGGTCACTAAGATAGCTAAGGCTTTGTGGCAGACATCTTCCTCCATTCCCCCAATCTCAAAGGGGGTGGAACATAAATACTTCATCCCAGCCAAGGACCATGATTACCTGTATACCCAACTGGCCCCAAATTTGCTTGTGGTAGAATTAGTTAACCACAGAGAGTGACAGGGTCAACCTGCCCCTATTTTCCCAAAATAAAGACTCAAGACGCCTGGACCTTTCTGGGCATAAACTTTATTCATCTACCAGTTTCCAATTGTGGGTGGCTATTCATCAGGCACACATGTTCATGGCCCACTACGTCATTATGTAGCAGGCCAGAAGAGATATGGGATTTGGCAGGGCCTTACTCAATTCTGCATGTCCTTAAACTCCTACCCCCCCTCCTCAGATATTTCTCGGAGTCATCTAAGTTGAATGGACATGAGCAGTCACTCGAAGAAGAAAAGACAGTTACCTGTTTCCGTAACTGATATTCTTCGAGATGTCCATTCAACATATCCCCTCCCCCTTCCTCTCTGTTGGAGTTTCTCTATGTAGCGCGGCATATGTGCGCCACTCCAGCGGGTGCTAGAGGTCGGTTCCCTATAGAGACCGCTAAGCGAAAAATCTTTCAGCACCAGTTCATGTGGTGAGCACACACACCTAATTTGAATGGACATGAGCAACACACCTTGAAGAACACCAGTTACAGAAATAGATAACCATCTTTTCCATAGCCTTGTACACACATTACCATTTTCTGTAATGATTTGGGTTCTGGACTTATGGAAATGCATTGTCGCCCTTAGTTAATTGCAACACGTATATCAGCTGTGTGCATAGCATGTTTAAAACCCCTAGCTGGTACAGGATAGCCTACATGTATAGCATATAATTCACTTAGTAAAAATATTGTTGGAGAAAGAGTAATTACTGATCTAGAGGCCAGCAGATTGCAAAACTGAAGGAAGTGTGATAATATAAGATGAGAAATGCCCATTTTGCCTGATAGGATTTCTTGTTGCTTCTGTACTGATTAAGAATCCATGGAACATTCCCTGTGGAGAGCTAGCAGCAGGAGAGGTATGTAGCTGCTGTTCTTCCCAAATACGTTGTGATCTCTGGCCATTCATGCAGCTTTGAATGATGTTGCATGTCCTTTTTTTTCATGCAGAACCTCCACTCAATGAAGATTTACAGCCATCCTCAGCTGTATCCAGCCCAACGCAAACAGGCCCTGTGATGTATATGCCATCAGCTGCTGGCGATTCTGTTCCAGTGAGCCCTTCTAGTCCACATGCTCCAGACCTTAGCAATGTATGTGACACTACTAGGTAGCCTTTGTTCACACATTGTTAACCTGCATTTCCCTACTGTACCACTCTCTTCCAGAGTAGGAAATTTTTCAAAGGGTTTGAATTTTTTTGGCTCTCAGCCAATGTTTCCTCTCATTTTTTTCCATCCATGTGTGGAATACATTTTGTTATGAGCATCAATGCACGTGAGGATTCAATAGGAACATATACTGTGAGCACTCTGCTCATCAGCTGGGCAGCATCTGAATCTCTCCTGAGCTGCTGCCCAAGCGCTCATCTTACAGGGTACAGTGCTCTCAGCTCAGTACTTCTTCAGAGAGATTATTTGGGGAGGAACATAGGTTTTAGCCTTACTTCTAGAAACTTATTCCATGCTTATAGCATTGTTTTGCTTTTCATTCCCTAAAACAGTGGTCCCCGCGGGGCCATTTGTGTGCGCCCGCCAAGTGCTCAGGGCTGGCCTGGCCCCGGGCAGATGGTGCATGCATGGAGCCGGAGCCGGACACCGGCCCCAGGAGCGCCGCGAATTGGCCGCTCACGCCCCGGGTGCGCGGCGCTTGCAGGGGGGGGCGCCGGTCCCGGGCGTGCGGCGCTTGCAGGGGGGGGCGCC